CCCCCCCGACCCGCCCTGCTCCAGCACTGCACCTCAGACCTCACGGCAACTCTCGCCCCGAGCACCACGGCACCCTCCAGCTGACACACAGCCCTTCCCTGGTCACCATCGCCCCCAGACCCCGTCCCTGTGTCCCCCCAGACCCCGTCCCTGTCCCTCCCCCAGACCCCCCTACCTCTGCGGCAGAGGCCGAGGGTGAGGAGGGCCAGGAGGGTCAGCAGGACGAGGGGCTTCATGGTGCCTCTCGGTGCCTCTCTGCGCTGCGCTGGGTGCAGCCCCTGCTCCCCGAGCACCTTTATAGGGCTCGGTGGCCACCGTGACCAGTCAAGGAGGGGCCCCGTGGCCCCGTCGGGGCTATTTCCAGCACATCCGCCGGGCCGGGAGCCGCCAGCACAGGCAGCAATTGTGGTTTGGGGTGAACTCGGTTCCCCCGTGACCGGCCAGAGCCCACAGGGAGGGAAACACGGCCCCGGGCCAGGGGAGATTTGCTGGTGGGGCCAGCCCTGGCAGCACCCAGTCCCCAACTGGGATGGGAGACGGGGCAGTGGTGGGACTCCCCGCTCCACTCCCCAGTCACTGTCCCACCTCCCCCTGGCAGAGCCCGGCAGGGTTCCTGCCACACTGGCAGAGCTTCACAGAACCATGGGATGGGTTGGAAGGGACCTTAAAGAACATCCCGTTCCAAGCTCATCTCTCCAGGCCTCGGTTTCTCCAACTGCCAGTGGCCTCTTCCAGCCTTTTCCCACCTCAGCTCTACACCCAGGACTGTCTCTGGACAGAGATGGTCTCTTTAAATATAAAGAATCATAGAATGGTTTGGGTGGGAAGGGGCCTTGAAGCCCCCCCCAGTCCCCCCTGCCCTGGGCAGGGCCACCTCCCACCACCCCAGGTTGCTCCAAGCCCCCTCCAACCTGCCCTTGAACCCCTCCAGGGATGGGGCAGCCACAGCTTCTCGGGCCAACCTGGGCCAGGCTCTCACCACCCTCAAAATAAAGAAGTTCTTCCCAAAATCTCATCTCCATCTCCCCTCTTTCAGCTTAAAACCCTTCCCCCTCACCCTATCACTCCATGACCTTGTAAAAAATCTCTCTCCATTTTTCATTCCTGAACCCCCAGGTGGCCCTTGCAGCACCCAAAGTGGCTCCGAGCAGGATCACCCTATTTTGGTGCCCACCACAGCTCAGGGAGCCTCTTTCCTGCCAAAACCTGTTTATTTTTTTCCCTCTGCTCAGGGCCGACAGGGACTTGTTGGCCAATTTTTGCCCCAGGGACCAACACATGCTCTGTTGGTGGCATCACCATCATGGCCCCTTGCCAGGACTGGTTGCTGTGACCCAGGAGGGCGAGCAGACACCTTGCCCTCAGGCTCCACACGGCTCTGCTCTGCCTCATCCCATGGGAGACGCTGTGTACCAGTGCCTGTTCCCAGAAACAGGACCTCAAGAGAGGTCCAGCACCTTTTCAACCCCCAAAACAGATCTTTCAAAGAACAATTGTGCTTCTGGTGCGGTTCAGGCACCAGGTAGAGGTGAAGGGGAGCGGAGCAGCTGGAGAAGGATCTCCAGTTCCTCCATCCTTCGACTCCCAATACTCCCCAATGCCTCTGCAGCGCTCCAGGTCCTCACCCACCTCCTGAGTTTGCTCCTGGTGGACTCCAGGAGGGTTCAGAGCAGAAGGGGGCTCCCAGGGCCACCTGGGGTGACATTCCTCTTTGGGACCCTGACCACTCTCCAGACGTTCCGATCCTCTAAATCCCAGCCCTGTCTTGGAAAGCGGAACCGGAGGCTTTGGGGTGGAGGAGGAGAGAAATGCTGAAGCCAGAGCCTTTGTCAAACAAACCCATAAACTACAGCCTACGTGGGCCAAGCCAGCGCAGCGGGAGCCAAGGCCGGGGGAACAACAGCTCCAATTTATTTAGATTATAATGCAGCGAGGGAAGGCTTGTTTACGACAGAAGGAAAATATGCCTAAGTCAGTCAATCGCAGGCTCTGGCTGCCTCTAATTAAAACCAGAGGCCTGTGCTGGGTGGAAATTGCCACCATTGTTCTCCCAGTTTGTGTTTCCCCACCACCGAGGGCACGGCCCCTCCTCGGGATGGGATGCGACCAGAGAACCTGCTGGTGGATCTGGTGTCTGTCGGAAACAGACTGGCCATCAGTCCTTGTCGGGCTCAGAAAAGACTCTCCTCGTTACGGGCCCAGCCCTGGAGAAGGATCTTTTCTTCACTTTGAAGACACACCTCATGTTTAGGGCTTCCTGGCAGACTCCAGGGAGTTCCTGCTTCCCAGGCCGGAAAACTTCCCATGAGATGGCAAAGAACAACTCCAGATGGGTAACACCAACCCCAGTTTGGTTCCAGGAGTCAACACGGGGGTTTCACAGGAAAAACACTAAATCCCTTCACCACGGGCCCACCAGGGCCATCCCAACCCCTGCTCCTCTCCACATACACCAAGGGTGGAGCCTTGGAGCCTTCACACTCAGAGAAGCGCCATCCTGGGAGGGAGCAGGGTTGGAAAATAACTGGAAAAAGGGAATAAATGGCAACAAAGAACTTGATGTGATGCGACTGACGTATCTGTTCTGATGATTCACGGGCGGAAAACTGTTTAAAGACATGGATAGTGAAAACAAACACTGCAAAAACAAAGCAAAAAAAGCCCAATGTGGCCATTTGCACCCCACAAAATGCCACGGTGGCGTTTACCCACCTGCGGGCTCTGTGTGCCACAGCTCCCCAGCCCCTCGCTCCTGTCACCGCCCAGCCACCGGGCTCAAGGCACCAGTTTTCCTCTAAAGCACATCTGAAATACCTTCAAGGCCCCAAATTTGGCTTTAGCAAGCTGGAATCAGGCGTGTGACAGCACTAAAGCAGCGAGGGAATGCACAGACAGGCTCCGTAGGATTCTCCTCCCTGTTGAGCTGAGCGGGGAATGGGAAACTGGCATCTATTTCCAAAGAAATGTTCTTTTTTTTTTTTTTAATTTCTTCCCAAACTTTAATCACATTGTCCAAGTCTGGCAGCTTTTCAGTCCTGCTGCAGGTTTCTCCTGGCCTGACAGGGCGAAGGCGAGGTTTGAAGAGGCCACGCACAGAGTCCCACTTCCCGACGCGCTGAGAGGAGGATAAAATTCCCCCCCGAGACACAGAGAATCCCTCCCCGGCTCCTCACTGGGGCTCCTTGAACATCATGATGAGTTCTCGTTGCTCTTTACTAATTGCCTGGAAGGAAAACAACCACCACTGAACCCGGCAAAGCCCTTCTCTCCAGCGTTCAGGACACAAAACCAGGCTGATATGAAACACAGCATCACATACGCTGCCATCCCCAGCAAGTACAGAATAACCCCCCCCCCCAAAATCTCCCATTCACCCACAGAAACATCCCACCCCATGCACTGGGAAAACATCCAGGAGCTCCAGTGGAAACTCCCAGACCTCCCAGGCCGGTTTCAGCAGCACTTGGCTCCTGGTGAGGTCTTTGATAAGCGGAGGGCTCAAACAGTGCAGCCATTTGCCAGTCAAACCCCAGAATAATGTTTCTTTCAGGCTGATGCTGCAAAAAGAAAGGTTTTTTTAGTTGTTTATTGGTTATTTTTACCTGCCAGGCGTGTTTGCGAGCTTCTATCTGCTGCTGCAGCTCCGCAATCTTATCCCTCCCGGCCAGCACGGACTCTGCCACCTTCCTGTTCTCTTCCTCCTTCTCCTTCAGGATTTTGCGCAGGTACGAGCGGTGCTTGAGGAGATACGGCACCAACGCGCTGCGCACGTCGTCCTCCGGGACCCCGCTGGGACGCCTGCCAGCCAAGAGAGGTGAGGCAACCAGGGAGCAGCGACCTGGCAGGGCAATTAGTCTCACGCACCTCAGTTAAGAGCTGAGCTGCTTGCTGCCAGGGATCAGCTCATCAACTGCCCCAATTTTACCTCGGATTGCTCCAGGACAGCTAAAACCCCACGGGAGCTCCCTAACTCTATGGATGAAGGAAGGAGAGGAGTCCTGCCCAAAACCCCGCTGTTAGTTGAGACCTGGAGGCAGGTGTGACGTAATCAACTCTTTCCCAAACACAGAACCAAGAAACTGTGATGATGCCTTTGATTCGAGGGCTGTGCCACCAGCCAGCGTGATCTGGACAGGCTGGAGAGCTGGGCAGAGAAGAACCTCATGAGGTTCACCAAGGGCAAATGTAGGGTCCTGCACCTGGGGAAGAAGAACCCCAGGCACCAGTAGAGGTTAGGGGTGGACCTGCTGGAAAGCACCTCTGAGGAGAAGGATCTGGGGGTCCTGGTGGCCACTAAACTCTCCAGGAGCCAGTAATGGGCCCTGGTGGCCAAGAGGCCAATGGGATCCTGGGCTGCACAGGGAAGAGTGTGGCCAGGAGGTGGAGGGAGGTCATTCTCCCCCTCTGCTCTGCACTGGGAAGGCCACAACTGGAATCCTGCGTCCAGTGCTGGGCTCCCCAGTTCCAGAGAGACAGGGAACTGCTGGAGAGAGTCCAGCGTAGGGCAACGGAGATGCTGGAGGGATTGGAGCATCTCCCTGCTGAGGAGAGAGCTGGGGCTGGAGAAGAGAAGGCTGAGGGGAGACCTTCTTAATGCTTCCAAGTTCTTAAAGGGTGGGTTGAAGGAGGATGGAGCCGGACTCTTCTCAGTGGTTCCCAGGGACAGGACAAGAGGGAACGGGCATAAACTTGTATTCAAGAAGTTCCACCTAAACATGAGGAAGAACTTGTTTGGGGTGAGGATGGCAGAGCCCTGGCAGAGGCTGCCCAGGGAGGGTGTGGAGTCCCCTTCTCTGGAGATCTTCAAGCCCCAGTGGATGCTCCTGAGGGATGTGCTCTGGGCAGCCCTGCTTTGGCCGGGGAGTGGGACCAGGGGATCTCTGGAGGTCCCTTCCAACTCTCACGATTCCATGATTAAAAGACCCAGCCTGTGACCAAGAGGCAGCGGGTACAACTTCCCGTGCCTGCTGAGACCCTCAGCAAGGCATCCCCAGGAGAGGTGTTGATGCGAGCTCTGCTCCTGCAGCAGGAGTTGGGGCTAAAACACACCCTCAGCCTTTTGAATTATTTGGAACTGAGTTTACCTCCCCTCCGGTCCCAGCAGCACTAACCTCCTCCTTGCACTGAGGAAGCACACATGTAGATAACTGACATAGAAAAGCACCAAACCCCCTCATTTTCAGGTGTTTTAGACACACTGATGCTGCTGTTGATTTCAACATAAAGTTTAAAAAATACACCCTTGCAGCACAATGCTACAGGACACACCAACACGGCCCAAACATCACTTCTACTCTTGAAGGAACATCCCTCCACACACACCCGCTCCACACCAGACTATTCCATACCACGCAGGCTCTTTCTGGTTCTTTGCCTCCTCCACGATCTTATCCAGTGAATTAAAGAGCACCTCCAGGTTCCCTTCATTCTTCACCTCCTGGATCTCCTCCTGGGAAGGAAGGACACCACAGGGATTCAGTGGGAGCCAAACTAAACCGACACAGGCATCGTTCCACTTGTGAACCCTCACGTTTCCCTGGATGAAGGCTACACCCTGGGAATCACTAGGTATCGAGTCCCCATCTCTGGAGATATTTCAAAGACAGGTAGAGATGGCGTTTAGGGACATGGTTGATCAGTGGAGTTGGCAGTGTGATGTCTACGGTTGGACTTGATGGTCTTAATGGTCTTTCCCAGCCTAAGGCAAGTGGTGGATTCCCCATCACTGGACACTTTTAGGATTCAGCTGGGCAGGGTCTGGGCCATCCTGTCTGCACCGTGTTTCTGCCCAGAAAGGTTAAACCAAGTGATCCTTGAGGTCCCTTCACACCTGGGATTTGATGATTAAGTGATTCTATAATTTTACGGCTCTTTCTGGGGAAGCCAAGGAGTCTGGGAGAATCTCTGGGGAGCAGCCTTGAATTTCTGGTTCTGCCATTCGATAAATGGGACATCAACACGCTCAGTGCCTCACACCGAGGGCCCGCAGCCCCTCTGGGCACGGCACGGTCCCGCCTCCCCCTTCACCTTGATGGATGTCCGCAGCTGGGACACGAACTGATCGTAAATGCTCCTGGTCATCTCGGGTTGCAGTTTGTAGAAGGAGCGGTAGCAGCTGGCGAACCTCTGGTAGCTGCAAAGCGGGAGGGGCAGGGTTAGGCCTCCCCGCGGCGGGGCCCGCCTAGGCCCCGACCCCACCGGAGCCCGGCCGCGCTCCCGCCTCACCTCCCGGCTGCCACCAGCTTCTCCAGGAAGGTGTCCACCACGGCGGCGAAGACCTGGGCGCGGCCCGGAGCCGCCGGTACGGGCGGGTCGCCGTCGCCATCACCTCCCACCACCGCCGCCACAGCCGCCTCCTCCTCAGCGCCGCTCCCCGCCGCCATCTTTCCCCGCTCGCCGAGCCCGCCAACACCGCCGATTGGCTGCCGCCGCCAAGCCGCGCCGCGCCCATTGGATGGCTGCGCGGGGCCCGCCCATTCCGAGTGCGCATGCGGGAAGGCGCGGCCCGCCTCTCTGCCAGTAGGGAGGCGTGGCCTCGGCCTCGGGGGCGGAGCCTCGGCCGCCAAAGGGCGTGGCCTCCTAGCCCCCGGGGAGGAGGGGGGCAGCAGGGTGATGCCTCAAAAAACCCAAAAGTCATAAAAATTGGAGGCCTGTAACCAGCCTCAGGGGTCAATACTTGGTCCAGTTTTGTTCAACACATTCATCAATGACCTGAACGAGGGGACAGAGTTCACTGATGGTACCAAACTGGGAGGGCTGGGCGACTCTCCAGAGGGCTGTGACATCATCCAGAGACCTGGAGAGGCTGGAGAGCTGGGCAGAGAAGAACCTCATGAGGTTCAACAAGGGCAAGTGTAGGGTCCTGCACCTGGGGAGGAAGAACCCCAGGCACCAGTATCAGTTAGGGGTGGACGTGCTGGAAAGCACTGCTGAGGAGAAGGATCTGGGGGTCCTGGTGGCCAGTAAACTCTCCAGAAGCCAGCAATGGGCCCTGGTGGCCAAGAGGCCAATGGGATCCTGGGCTGGGGAGGGAAGAGTGTGGCCAGGAGGTGGAGGGAGGTCATTCTCCTGCGTCCAGTCCTGGGCTCCCCAGTTCCAGAGAGACAGGGAACTGCTGGAGAGAGTCCAGCGTAGGGCAATGAAGATGATGGAGGGATTGGGGCATCTCCCTGCTGAGGAAAGGCTGAGAGAGCTGGGGCTCTTCAGCCTGGAGAAGAGAAGGCTGAGGGGAGACCTTATTCATGCTTCCAAGTTCCTAAAGGGTGGGTTGAAGGAGGATGGAGCCCAACTCTTCTCAGTGGTTCCCGGTGACAGGACGAGGGGCAACGGGCACAAGCTGGACCAGGGGAAGTTCCCCTCCAATGTGAGGAAGAACTTGTTTGGGGTGAGGGTGGCAGAGCCCTGGCAGAGGCTGCCCAGGGAGGGTGTGGAGTCCCCTTCTCTGGAGATCTTCAAGCCCCAATGGATGCTCCTGAGTGATGTGCTCTGGGCAGCCCTGCTTTGGCCGGGGAGTGGGACCAGGGGATCTCTGGAGGTCCCTTCCAACTCTCACAATTCCCTGATTTCTGTGAAAAATCACAAGGGGCTGAAATGCTTCCTCCACCATGCCACGGCAGGAAAGAGCAAGCTAGAACCTGAAGCAGAGCGCTAAGTGTGAGAAACCGTCCCTCTACTGAGACCCCAACCCAAGTCCACTCAGGGGCTGAGCCCTATTCTCAATCATTTAATGAAATAAAGCCATCAAGAACAAATCAAAGGGAGAAGAATCATCCAATTTCACAAAAAGGGGAAAAGCAATTTTTCCCTTGTCAAGACACCGCACATATGAGCTAACCAGAACTACCCATGCTTTGTAAAGCAGGATTTCAACCATCACATGAAGTTCAACCAGGCCAAGTGCAGGGTCCTGCCCCTGGGAGGTGGCAATCCCAGGCACAGATACATGTTGGGTGGAGAATGGCTGGAGAAAGCAGCCCTGAGCAGAAGGACTTGGGGGTGATGGTGGATGAGAAGCTCAACATGAGCCAGCAGTGTTCAGTGGCAGACCAAAAAGCCAACCACATCCTGGGCTGCATCAAGAGATGTGTGGCCAGCAGGTCATGGGAGGTGCTTCCACCCCTCTGCTCTGTGCCCGTGATACCCCACCTGGAGTATTCTGTCCAGCTCTGGAGTCCTCAGCACAGGAAGGACATGGACCTGTTGGAACGGGTCCAGCCACAAGGATGATCAGGGGGATGGAGCACCTCTGCTGTGTGGACAGGCTGAGAGAGCTGGAGTTGTTCAGCCTGGAGAAGAGAAAGCTCCAGGGAGACCTTGGAGCAGCCTTCCAGTACCTGAAGGGAGCCTACAGGAGAGCTGGGGAGGGACTCTTTGTCAGGGAGTGCAGTGACAGGACAAGGGGTAACGGTTTTCAATTGGAAGAGGGAGATTTAGATTAGATACCAGAAAGAAATTCTGGTGGCAATCCCAGGCACAGATACATGTTGGGTGGAGAATGGCTGGAGAAAGCAGCCCTGAGCAGAAGGACTTGGGGGTGATGGTGGATGAGAAGCTCAACATGAGCCAGCAGTGTTCAGTGGCAGCCCAAAAAGCCAACCACATCCTGGGCTGCATCAAGAGATGTGTGGCCAGCAGGTCATGGGAGGTGCTTCCACCCCTCTGCTCTGCGCCCGTGATACCCCACCTGGAGTATTCTGTCCAGCTCTGGAGTCCTCAGCACAGGAAGGACATGGACCTGTTGGAACGGGTCCAGCCACAAGGATGATCAGGGGGATGGAGCACCTCTGCTGTGTGGACAGGCTGAGAGAGCTGGAGTTGTTCAGCCTGGAGAAGAGAAAGCTCCAGGGAGACCTTGGAGCAGCCTTCCAGTACCTGAAGGGAGCCTACAGGAGAGCTGGGGAGGGACTCTTTGTCAGGGAGTGCAGTGACAGGACAAGGGGTAACGGTTTTCAATTGGAAGAGGGAGATTTAGATTAGATACCAGAAAGAAATTCTTTACTGTGAGGGTGGTGAGAGCCTGGCCCAGGTTGCCCAGAGAAGCTGTGGCTGCCCCATCCCTGGAGGGGTTCAAGGGCAGGTTGGAGGGGGCTTGGAGCAACCTGGGCTGGTGGGAGGTGGCCCTGCCCAGGGCAGGGGGGGTGTAACCTGATGATCTTTAAGGTCCTTTCAATGCAAACCATTTTATGATTTGTGCCTTCTGGTTTCAGGCACGACTACTGGTTTAGCCCTTTTTTTTTTTTTTCTGGCTTTTTCAGCATTTACACATGGTCACTGTCACTTTGTCAGGTCCCTCCCAGTGCTACTCGGTGGTTAACAGCAGGAAAACCTCACCATGATAGGGCAGGACCTGGGGAGTGCACCCACCGGGGCTCAGGCGCTTTTACACTCAGGCGTCAAAGGGAAGGTCTCTGAAGTTTATTAGTTGTCAAGAACTTTGCTGGTTGAGAAAGGGACACTGAGCTTGAGAGCGTCTCCCCGCCTTTGTGCCGTCTGACACCTCGCGACACGCACCGGGACTTACCCTGCTGCTCATCAGCAGAGGTTGATTATTACAGTTTCTGTTAATTGCCACCCGCTTGGCACGAGAACGGGGCAATGCATGCTCTGGATACCTGCAATCCTGTGCTGCTGCTGTTCTGCTTTTTAGAGGAGAAAGAACCGACTGGGGTCAGCTTTTAACCACCTCCAAGGTGACAGCAGAGCAGAACACGCTGCTCCGACAGCTCAGAGAGACATCACCTTCTTTAATGCTGCAGAAAACAAAGGCGGGATGAAAAAGGCCTTTGATGACTCCTCTGCAACCCCAATGAAGAGCGCTGTGTCTCAGAACCCAGTTCTGCCCTTAAAGTCTCTCTCCCAGTCTGTCTGTCCCAGTCCCACCTCCGGCAGGGACCGCGGCACATCCAGCCCCTCCCCGGCTCAACCGCAGCCGGCGGGTGACGGCAACGGCCACACGCAGCGAGTCCCAGGTGAAATGACAGCCAGGAGCCCGGCAGCAGCCACGGATCAACACTACAATCCAGAATTCTGTGTTATGGCCGTGAGACAAACCAAGACGGCGACTTCCCTTTTACTTGCAGGTTCTCTCTCGCCTCCCAGACTCAGAACTAACTGGGATGAGCACCTGGCATCACCAGGGGTAAACCCCAAATTCTGAGCCCGGCAGGGTGAAGTCAAACGATCCCTTCACTCCTCCTCCCCTAAAGAGCAGGCTCTTGCTTCATCACTCCATTGCAAGTTTTGCTCTGGTACAAAACACAGACCGACAGCTGACGGTTTTGATCCAGCCAGAGTGTGCAAAGGATCCTCCTTGCCCTTCCCAAACAGGATAAGCAGGATTTAAAGGTACAAAGTATTAGTGAACCATTACTTCTTATTCAATATGAACATGCCCATCAGGTTTGAACTGGATCAAAAGCCAGTACGAGCTGGGTTTTGGTGTTTTTTTTTCCCCTTCCCCACCTCCCATCCCGCGCGGTTCTTCTCTCGGCACGACCCGACGCTTCCAAACTCCATGTCTGCTGGGGCTTAAACTAACTACGGGTGGGAAGCGGCAGCAGCCACCCTGGACATGCAGCACGGACAACTCACATGGAACAAGGCCACAGAACGACCACTCAGTCCCCCAGAAATCAGAAGCTTCCCTAAAATGAAATAAAAATGAAATAACAGATTAAAACCGTAGGTTAGGTGTCAAAACTGCCGACAGCTAATTACAACCAGCCAGCTCAACCCCTGACTCGCCCACCAGCTGGCTCACTGCTTGAAGGATGAGAGATAGGAAACATTTTCCAGGAACATACAAAAAAAAAGGTATGTACAGATCTATCCAAAACGCGGTAAATAAGGTCTTAAGTGGTTCCGGGTTACTCTCGGTTCACATCTTCTAGGAATAAATGTGGGTGATTGGAGATATTTACTCGTCTGTTCCGTTCTTCCAGCTTCCCATGGTACAACTGCCTTCAGCACACAACCCACCAGAGGGCTCTGCTGCAGCCGGACTCCCCTCCGCGGAAGTTTGGCAAAGATGAAAATAATTTAATTTAAAGGATAAACTGGCTTTTTTTTTTTTTTTTTTGCTTCAGCCAGTAAGTCTTTAATTTAAAAAAAAACCAACAAAACAATAAAGGAATTCAGAATTTGCCAGGATGTGTTCACACACCTGGCTGCTCTCGAATGAACTGTCACTGGCAAACAGTGTTGCCAAAGGTCACATTTTGATGGTTTTAAGCAGAAATAGCAGCAGAGCGTTGTGTTACAGTCAAATCTACAGAGGTGAATTGCAGTTGCTCTTGCTTCTGCCCTGTACTGGGAAACCAGCTAGAGACAAAAGAGACAGCAGCTGCCTCTCCTCCCAAGCTTCCAACCGTGACGGTCCAAATTCAGAGGACTCAAAGGAAGGTCTTCTCTTCCACCAGCTGCCTCTACCAGTGCCTCGAATCCACCAGCTCCGGGCGGAGGCTCAGCTTCTTCAGAGTTTCGTACCCCACCACGATGACGATGGTGGAAGGAGTGGCCGAGATGATACGGGCAGAAAGGCCTTTCGTCAGGCCCCAGGGACCTTCCTCTGCCATGAGCTGTTTGAAGGTGAGGATGATGGAGCTCTTGCCTTCCACCTGCAAAGCCAGAAGAAATACTCACAGAGCTGCCAGACCTCACACCGAGCTGCTCTGGGGCTCTGCTCCAACTGAGGGCACTAGAGACTATGGATCAGCCAGCCCAATGACGGTGATCTAGTCTCCAGAACTCCCTGAAGGGGGGCAAAAAAAGGCAAAAAGCCCTAAAGAGGCAGCAGCAAGTGGGATTCTTCAACCTGTCTCCTCCTTCCTTCCATCTGCCCCTGTCTAGAAGGGGCTGGATCAACACAACAGCTCGAGTCTCACTAAAACTGACACTGGTGGAAGCACCTCGCCTTTTGTCACGTCTGCTGGGAAACCTCATGTGAGCAGTTGGGGCAGGCGAAGCCAGCCCTGCTACCTGAGCTGCCCCCTATTAACGCTGAGTTTAAATTAAGCAGCACGATATCTAGGACAAAACAACCTACGAAGAGAGAGAGAGAGGGAAGGGGAGCCGTTTACCTGAAGCCACAGAGATCAAAGGGCCGGGAGGGAACCCCACCCCTGCGTCCTGCAGACAGACGTGCCGAGCAGGCTGAGCTCTTACCTGAACCCGGGCTCTGATGACATCCATGGGGTTGGTGAGGGTGGAAGCTGTGGCAGCTGCCAGTGGCCCCGATATAGCTTGCAGGAGGAGATGGGGACAGTCCTTAGGAGTCAAGCTAGAAAGCTGTTCTGGGAACGGGAGAGAGAGAGAGAGAGAGAGAGAGAGTGAAGTTTCAACCGAGTGGCTGCTTATCAGCTCCTGAACTCCACCTGCTCATTTACACCGATTCGCAGTGGGCAGAATCCCTGATTTATGACCTGTCACCTCCTCCCACAGCACATCTACGCACTGCTTTCTACATCAACCAGAAAGTCAGCAAAAAGCAGGGAGCCAGCCCGTAAACACCCCCGGCAGCTCCATCACACAGCCTCTGATCAGCTCAAACACAGGCGCTCAGACCTGCTGGGCAAACAGGGCGGAATAAGCTTTTCTGTCCCCAAAATGGGGCATGGAAAGGGTCACCCCCTAGAAAAGGCACGGGGGAAACCTTTAGACAAGGCTGTCAGAAGCTGCCTGCAGTGATTCACTCGGATCCAGGGGGCTGTCACTCCCACCAAGGACTCTGCCCTAGAGATATCCCCGTGGCAGCCGCTGTGGGGTCTCTCAGGAGCAAAGCACCACGTCCTGCTCAGCCCAGGGATCTCCTGGCTCTGCTCCTGCCACCCTGCAAACAGGATTCCAATCCCCCACACTTTTATTGGTTCAAGTTGTAGGGAACACAGTCCAGAAGTCCCAGGTTTGGTTTTTTTTTTTTTTTGGACGATGGGGTGGTTGTGTCTCTCTGGCAAGAAGGAAGGAAGCTGCTCTGTTTGTGACCCACAACACCGAGCTGAACTGCTGCCAGCACTGAACTTTGAGCCCAAGGAAGGTTCAACGACCAACACTGGTGCCAGCTGAGACCTGCGTGCTCTCCAGGGACAGGGGGCTGGGAAAGGCAGCCAAAGCAGAGCTGGATCGACAGCTGGGGGTTAACGTTCAGCATCACCCTGATTCCCACTCCGGAAGACAAGGAAAGGGAGCAAACACCTAAATAAGGCAAGCTCCGTTCTCTCCATATCATTTGTTCTTAGATATCCACTTTCAAATCTTTTTGGCACTAAAGTCTTACAAATAATACAGTGGATTTTTGGTATCAAAAATCTTTGACATGGAGAGTGAAGAGAATGCTCCCAAGAAGTTCAGACTGGACCAACATCCCAAGCTGCTGCTGCCATTAAAAGGCAGCACTGAGGTGTAACCAGTGCTCCCCAGTGTTACCAGAATGCTCCCACTCTGAAAAGCAAACTAGATGTTTGAGACACCTGTATTTTTAAAAGCATGTGATTTCCAAGATATACTTTAAGCCAGTGAAATCTGAGCCTCTCATTATCATCACTTTCAGGCAGATTGCTATTAGGTAAATATTAGTCTAAAAACCACATGCAAAGCTGCATGACAAATCCGAAGGATTACAGGGGGTGTGGGGGGAAATACATCTTAACTGCCCAATATCTTTACTATTTGGGAACACCCTGAGGATTACCAGAGCTGAGCCAGGGAGAGAGAACATACTCTTAAATGTCCTTTTATATCACAAGGCTTGGTGCCAACTTTACAGCTACAGAAACAGAAGCATAAACTTAAGACACAAAACCCCAGCAGATTTGGCCTTTCTCTGTGCCTGTCGTTCAGTTTTGCTATGAGCTTTGTGGCTCTACGAGGCTTTCTGCCACATATGACACTCCCAAGTCCACGTGAACTGAAAGAGGAATTATACTCACACGGTGGCTTCAAAACTCTGCCCTGTGCCAGCCAACAGCCTTCCTCACTTCCAGGCAGAAAGTAAGAGTTATTTGGGATTAGCAGAAGAGAAAGTTCAAGCAGACACATCAAGTCCCTCTTGCCTAGAGCCACCTAGCTTGAAGTCCTCTAACACTCAGACCCCTATTCTTATTTAAAACAAACTTAAACTGCCACCCACCATCTGGAGAACTCCTTTAAATTGGCTACAGCTATTTGTGCAAAGACAGGTTCTGCTCCTGCCCCAGATCAGAGAGAGAAAGCAAATCACGCTGGGTCCACAGAGTCGAGGGGCTTCCAGGATAAGATAAATCACAGAATGATATGGGGTTGGAAGGGACCTCTGGAGATCATCTAGTCCAACCCCCCTGTCAAAGCAGGTCCACCCAGAGCAGGTTGCACAGGAACTTGTCCAGGCGGGTTTTGAACATCTCCAGAGAAGGAGACTCCACCACCTCCCTGGGCAGCCTCTGCCAGGGCTCTGCCACCCTCAAAGTGAAGAGGCTCCTCCTCATGTTTAGACGGAACTTCTTGTGTACAAGTTTGTGCCCGTTTCCTCTTGTCCTGTCCAAAGTCTCCTTTCACTTACCGGCATAGAAGTGGTAGAAGGGCCACCAGACCGCACTGTTGGGAATATAGGTGAGCAGTGAGGCCACGTAGCCCCTGTAGAAGCCTCTAAAGCCATCAGCCTTGAAGATCTGTACAATGATGTCCTTGGTTTGGCCAAAGACCAGCATCCGCTTGCCATCTTGGTTCTGCACCTTAAACCTGCCCATGCTTTCCCCCTTCCTCTGCATCATGAGATGCTGGGAGATGACATCGATGGGCACCGTGATGCTCTGGGCCACCAGGGAGGCCGAGCCACCTGCCACCAGCGACTTCACAGCGTTGTTGTTGTTGTACCGTGACACGTACTTTCGAGTGAGCTCGTATGTGGTCACGTAGCACTGCCCGGAGATCAGGGTGAAAGTGTTGACCAAAAAGCCACGGTAGAGCCCAGCTGTCCCTTCTGTCCGCAGGATTTTCACAAAAGCATCAAACGTCCCGTTGTAGAGGCTCTTGCCCTTCTGAACCTGCAAACGTGTTCGGATAAGCGTGAAAGGGTAAACGCTCACCCGGATCATCATAGTCATGCAAATCCCAAAGACGTAGAATTTCCTTTTGTCCAGGTGCTCCCACTCAATGATGGGGATGTTGCGTTTGTCCTCCATGACTCCTGGGGGCTGGGAAGGAGGTGGTTAAGTCCCAGATCTACCTCAAAAGTACAGGAGCAGGTCCAGGCTCAGCCCTCCTGTCGCGAGTGTCTAGGCTGGAAGTGCTGGCATCTGCAACAAGAGACACTTTGAATAGACGATGAATCACCATGATTAGGGAAAGCAGCCTACGTCACCTAACTTGGATTTTCCTGAAGTACACATCAGCCACTCTGCTGGGACTGTGACCTCAGGAAGCAGGGCTGGATCACGGGGTCGATGGCGGCACCTTCTGATGTCACCGTCGCTGTTTGTTAAACTCTAACACTGCACACACACACGGCAGCGCTCACCACGCCGCACACTGCTCTGCTGCAACACAAGCCAAGCACCAGACTCTGCAGAGCAGTTTGAGACACACAGAGGAAGAGCCCTGCCCCGACAGCAAGTACTACCTTTGAACGGACAGGACCATGGATCATCAACCAAAGCAGCTCCTTCCCTGTCATTCCGGGTTTGGGATGCTCCGAGATGTCAGGATGTCACTTTTCACTTCCAGGATCTGTACAAAGAAGGAAACGACAAGTCTCTATTTGTGTTCCCAAATTCTCTGCACAAATTAAGGCACATTTTTCTGGGCGCTTCCATTTTGACCTTCCTAAAACTGGAGGGTGACGCGAGCCAGGGAAGGGGGAAGAGAAGGCTGTGAAAAGAGGAGGAACAACGGGAGAACAAGGCAAATGGAAACAGCCACGCAGAGACTCCACACTGATGACCAGGAGCCTGGAAAGGAAGGGTTAAAAATCACAGCCCAGAGATATCTCCCCGGAGCAGTCTCTAACCTAACTGTGCTTTTCAGCTAAGGCGAGCAAAGTTCATCCTCACTTCCAATACTGCATCATCCCCTCCGGCAGCATTCGGAGCACCGGGAACCGAGGGATGAGGAGGGGGGGTCCTCATTCAGCCTCCCCCAGCAGACCCTGCCCGAGCGCAGCTCCTGCCCCTCAAGCTCTATCCCTGCATCTCATCCCACAGGCAGCCCCATCCCAGCTGCTTCCCTGGGAAAAGACTCCGGGTAGTTCCACCCATCTCCCTTTTGGCTGAAATTTCCCTTAATTTAGTGCATGATTAACCAAGCTTGGAATAAGAGACCCTCCTTGCCAGGTCAGGTGTATAGAATCATACAATGGTTACAGTTGGAAGGGACATTAAAGATCATCAAGTTCCAACCCCCCCCGCCCTGGGCAGGGCCACCTCCCACCAGCCCAGGTTGCTCCAAGCCCCCTCCAACCTGCCCTTGAACCCCTCCAGGGATGGGGCAGCCACAGCTTCTCGGGGCAACCTGGGCCAGGCTCTCACCACCTGCAAAGAATTTCCTCCCCACATCTCATCTCAATCTCCCCCCTTTCAGTCTCAAATCCTTCCCCCTCATCCCATCGCTCCCCTCCCTCATCAAGAGTCCCCCCCATCTCTCCTGGAGCTTGCTGAGGGACTGGAAGGGGCTCCAAGGTCTCCCTGGAGCCTTCTCTTCTCCAGGCTTGAACCCCCCCAACTCTCTCAGCCCCCCCTCCCAGCAGAGGGGCTCCAGCCCTCCCAGCATCTCCAGGGCCTCCTCTGGCCCCGCTCCAACAGCTCCATGTCCTTCTGATGCTGAGGACTCCAAAGCTGGACACAGTGCTCCAGGTACAATCAAAAAGAGAAGAGCGTCTCAAAGTATCAACCCAACATGAAAGCGATTACTTCACTGACCACAGGGACCTTCTTTCTATATCGAGAAAAGGATCTTCAGGAGTACCAGACTGCCAAATTATTAGAAAGCACTTGGCAGCAGCTGCATCCCAGCCCATATCCCAGGCTGTGGCCATCGGGGATCTGGAGTCTGTGCAGAGAAAGAAGTGGAGCTGCTGGAGGGGCAGAGCAATACTGAGCAAATGCAGAAACTGGAACAAGTTTGCCAAAGCCAGAGATCAGAAAGCAGATTCACCTTGAATCTAGACTGAGTGAGAGCTCAGATTAAAGGTGAGGAGCAGCCAACACCCCCCACCGACCTGGGGCCGTTTCCATTATCAGTGGGACGCAGAGAGGCCACGGCACAAATGTCTCCGAATTTCAGGCTTCACAGAGAGAGCTCAAACACCCAAGAGCCATTTGGTTAGAAACGCAGTAACAAAACAAGTGGCAATTATTCACCTCTGGCACAGAGAAGAAATTACAATTATGAAATTATTGGGGGGGGGGGGGGTTCTGATAC